TAACAGCATCTTTCTGCCCCATTTATTTTGTATCTAGGCTGCCTAGCGGGGTGGTAGCAACCAATCAGTAATTTAGTAATCAGGCGCCCTTGATCCTGCTGTCACACACTCTATGTCCACCTGCTTCTGAAAAAGCACCATCTATGACACATGAGGCTCTGGGGGACATCAAGACACAGTCCTTAAGAGGCTGGAACTCAGGGGCTGTGTTTGCCAGGCAAGTGCTCAACCACTGAGCTACACACCAGCCTTAGTTACTGATTCTTTAATTAAAATATTTTAGAATTTTTATTTATAGGCAACCATGCAAAACATAACTAAGTGCTGAGATAGGCAGAAAGATACAGTGAAAAGAGCAAGCACTCTGACTTGAGAAGAAAGGGTTGCAACCTTGGCTTTGTTATTTAAGAACTTGTAACAATAGACTAGTCAGCTGATAAACATATAAAAGGACTTCAATAAAATCCAGAGCAAAATGGGGAAGCTACAGGTAAAATTTCATAGCTGGATTTAAAAATCACATGTGGGAACATGTTAGAGCTGTTCAGAAAGTACACACATAAGTGGAAGTGCCTGCATGCATGTGTGCGTGCGTGTGCGCCCGTGTTTATCCTATCCAGCGTGTTGAACTGGCTATGACTTTTTAAAATTAAATTAGAATCTCTTAAATCTCTGGGACTTTATAGTGTCTAGAGATTGATAAATGATGCCTCAGAGAGGCGGAGCGATGGCAGGGCCCTCTGTGTGCACGGCTGCTGTACATTGGACGGCTGGGATCACCCTTACTTTTCCTAAATGCATCTGCAGAGGCCCTAAATGTCACTAATGATGCAAGGCTCTGTATTTTGGGGACCACTGGAAAATGACGGATTTTTTGTTATGATCTTTAATTTATGCTTTAAAAAGTAACAGAACACTGTTATTCAGTACCTGAGATCTACTGGGTAAGGCTGGTTTCAGTGCAATTGCAGTGAAATGGAAAGCAATGCAACGCTCATTACTAGAGTCACACTTCCTTTCCAGTCCAATAATAATAAAAACCCCATGGATTATGAACCGGGAACAAAGTTCTGCTCTAGGGGAAAAAGGGCATGGCTGGGCGTGGCAGTGCACACCTGTAATCCCAGTACTTGGGAGGCTGAGGCAGAAGGACTGCTGCAAGATCAAGCTCAGTCTGGGCTACAAAGTGATTTCCAAGCTAGGCTGAACTGCAGAACAAAACCCTGTCTCAAAAAAAAAAAAAAAAAAAAAAAAAAAAAAAGCAAGAAAAGAAAAAGTTAGCATGTCTGTAAATCTCAAAGGAAATAAACATTGAGCATTAATTATAAAAAAAAAAGTGGAGAATCGGTGCCAGTATTTGGAAGGGATCCCTGTGGTTGGGGAAAGTTGAGTCAGATCCATCCCTTGTGGCTGGAGCCCCCCAGGGGCCCACTGCTGTGTGTTGCTGCGGCAGGGCGGAGACCATGTGCTCGCTGTCATCTCATCCCAGCGCCTTGCAGAGGACCTGACACAAGATGAACGCGCAGTAAATGCTTGTGCAATGAAATAATTCTACAATTGGGAGTAAAAACAGTGTTTTCCCAACTCACAGATGTGGCCCACAGTTAAAGTATCCATTTTACAGCAATTCCTACTACACACACACACAGCTGAAGTTAGGAAGCAACACTTTCTTTAACACAGATGTTACCTTCTGACTGTTTTCTATTCTGTTCTTTTGGCTTGAATTTTTAAAATGTGGGTTATGACCCACTAACTTGCTTAACTCAATAAGGAGTCAAGACCAGATATTTGAGAGAGATATACTATTTCATTTCGTATTGCTTACCCTCTTATATTTACACGTCTCACTAACCATAAATGGAGTCTTAAAGATCACAAATTGTTTTATCCAGAAGAGTTCAGAAAACATTTGCATCACCTCTAGGTTTGTACCATTCATGAATTCACTGGGTGGAATTCCCCTTAGCTGGTGTTGATGAATTATAGGAATTTCCCCACCAAAGGCAAAATTGGTCCCTATCTCACACACAAAATTGAACTCAAATGGACAGCAGACCTAACTGTAAGGGCTAAGCCAATCAAACGTGTGGAAGACTGTTTAGGAGCTAATAACCATGGCTTTGCATTCGTCACTGGCTGTACCCAAAGAGAAAATAGAAAGGGTAGACTTTGAAGATTTAAAACAAAACAAAACAAAACAAACACAAACCTCTGTGTTTAAAATAACATAAAAAGACAATTTAGGGCATGAGAGAAGATTTGTACAAATTTCATGTATCTGAAAAGGGCTTTGTAAGAGGAATACGTAACTGTCAAACTCAGTAAGAAAATGGGCAAAGGATTCAGGTAGACTTTATCTCTGGAGAAGGCACATAATGGCCAACAGGCACATGGAAACAAATCCAAGCAATCGGTGAGGCAGGAAATGCAAATCCACACCATGAGATATTGCTTTGTCCCCGCACAGCTGGCTCATATCAAGAAGACGCTAGTGCTGCTGTGGGTGTGAGAAAAGTAGAGCCCTCCTGTGTCAACAGTGGGAAGCTAGAATGGTACCATTTTACACCCTCACCAGCCATATTGGCTTTTCAGCAGTTCCTTAAGAACACAGTCACTGCATGATGCGGTGCCCAGGGCTGTAATCTCAGCACTCTGAGAGGCTGAGGCAGGAGGGTTGCAAGTTTACATGTCTGACCATAGCCTAGACAACTTAATGGCTTAGCAAGATCCTGTGTGGGGTGGGGAGAAAAAGTGGGGAGAAAGGTGGAGAAAAGGCTGGAGATGTAGCCCAGTGCCAAGGCCCTGGGTTCAATCCCCAGCACAACAAAACATAGTTATCACGTGATTCAGCAAAGCTGCCCCAGGTATAAGACCCAAGAGAAATGAAAATATTTACACATATAGCCATGCACATGAATGTTTGTAGCAGCATTACTCATGTCTCTGTATGATGGGGCACAGTTTGGTTGCCAAAACAGAGGTGATGCTGATACAAACCACTGCACAGAGGTCCTTGGGAAACATCTGCCCAGTGAGAGGCCGGCCATCACAGAAGTCCCCACGCTGAATGAGCCCATTGATACGACATGCCCAGAATAGGAAACTACAATGAGATAGAAAGCGGGCTACTGGTTACCTGGGGTTGGGGGGAACTGCTCTGTTCATTGGGAGGAAGTTCTCTTTGGAGATAAAAATGTGCTGAATTTAGATTACTACAGTGATGACGACACAACCGTGTCGAGGTAAAACTCTCCGAACTGTGTATTTTAAATGTGTGGTGTTTAAAGTTTATATTGTGCAAATTGTACCTCGCTAAAGCTGAACCCTCATTCTAGCCTGAGCAAGGAGCAAGAGGCACACAGCTGCCCTGCAAGTGTCGCCCATGTCAACCTGACCTCATAAATGGCAGGCAAAGAAATGGGGTCTCGCCATGGCTGGCCCAGCGGTCTTGACCCATGTTCTTAACTTCTCGATTTTTAAATTTTTCATTTTCATTGGTCCATGTTGGCTGTGCAGGTGTTGACAGTCCTTGCATGGACTGGGTCCAAGACCGTGCCCATCTCAATTTTTTCCCCTCCTCTCCTTCCCTCTCCCTCCATCTCTTAGCCCCCTGCCCATTTCAGAAAGATCTGTCTCTGTTTCCTATGATCTTTTGTTTTCCTCCGTAATTTATTTATACTTTGAGTTTCTCATATAAGAAAAACCGTGCCATATTGAAGCCTGTGTCTGGTTTATTTCAGTTAGCTTTATGGTTTCAAAGTGTATCCATTTTCCTACAGATGAATTTTGTCCTTCTTTATGGCAGAGTAGTACTTCTTACAGAGTATGGAGATGGAAATTTAAAGGGCTTGGGAGACAGAAGGTCACGAATCTGAGAACAGTACGGTTGAACTTTCTCCCTGAGATACTCTTTTGTCATATACTAAAAAAATTGTTTTAAACCACAAATGGGGAGTGTCAGCGCTAAGGGTAAGAAGGGCGGACCCCCACACACCTGGTTTCCGGGCTTAGGGGGCGCCCCATGAGGGCTCTGGTGCGCTTCCCTAGGCGGCCATAGCTGGCCCGAGCGCCCCCAGCCGCCGCCAGCTGGACCTGGCACCCGGGTGGGACAGAGGGACCGACGGACACCCCGGCCGTGGGAGGCGGACGGACGCGGCGCGGATGCCCTCGGGTCGGAGCGCGGGCGCCAGGCCTGTAGGTCCCGCTGGGCGCTGTCGAGGGCGCGGCTGTCCGGAGGCGGGGCGGGATCGCCGGTCCGGCCGCTCGCTCCGGTCGCCTCCCAGCGGCGGCCGCGCGCAGAGAGACCCGGCCGGCGGGCGGGACGCGGGGGCGGCCACTGTCGCCTGCCCGGCCCGCCGCACGCTGGGACCCGGCCCGGCCCGCACACGGACGGCGGCGGGAACCGAGGCCGTCGGGAGCCCGAGCCGCAGCCCCGCCAGGTCAGAGTCCGGGGCGCGGGTGGCGGGGACCCCGGCGGCGGGGCGGCAGTAGGGCGACGGGGTCCGGCCGGCACCGCGCGGGGCGCGGGCTGGAGCCAGGTTCGAGCTCAGGCTCGTCGGGACGGCCGCGCGCTGGGGTCGGGGACCCGCGTGCCGGGGTCGGGGACCCGCGTGGGCGCCCCGCGGGGCTCGGCCCCAGGACTGCGCGTCCGGCCGTGCGGGGACGGCGCTGGCCAGCGCCCCGGGCCGCCGGAGCCGGAGCGCGTCCGTGCGCGCGCGTCCCTGTCCCCGTCCCTGTGTCCGCGTGTGCGTCCGCGGTCCGCGCGTCTGCGGGTGCGGAGCGCTGCGCGGTGCCGGTCGGGGCTGGAGCGTGGGGCCGCCCCGCCGCGCCCCGCCCCTGCCGCCCGCCCGCACCCCGGCCCGGGAGGCTGGCGCCCGCCGCGGGGCCCCGTCGGCCGGGGCCGGGGCCGGGGCCGGGGCCGGGGCAGGGTGAGGGGCCGGGACGCGCCGCAGGAGCCGCCCGCGCGCTCGGGTGAAGGTGGGCGTGCGGCGCTTTATGCCCCGGTGGTGGGGAGGAGCCTAGAGGAGGCCGACGCGGGGAGTAACCCGAGCGCTGCGTTTATATAAGGGCCGCGGTGGGTAAAGAAGGGGCCTTACCTCTGCTGGTGACCAGAAGGCTGCGTTTCCAAATTCTGCTTGTTAACTCCCAGCCTCAGGTGAGTGGCTCCCGGCCTCGCAGTCTGTGGGAATGTGCTGGGGCTGTTTAAAACTTGCAGTCTTCTTACTCCTCCACCGCGCCTCCTTCGCGATGTTCTCTTACAATACAAATGTGATTCCCTTAGGTCGGAGGCTAATGATAGGGACAATTGTGGCCGTCAGTTCAAGATGAGAAAAACTTAAAACAGCTGTCACTCGTCATGAAAAAAACCCTCAAGTTTTCTTTTGAGATGAAGGATGAAATGGAAAATTAATTTGGGCTACCTCTTTATTTGAAAACTAGACAAAGTGATGAACTGAGTGGTATGATAGCTAGTTTGAGAAAATTCTGGATTTTGAGGTACTTGTTTGTAATGCCAACTGTTTGGGCTTTTTTTTTTTTTTTTTAATCATTCATGAAACAAATTGTTAACTGAAGTTGTTAAGAGAGCAATGAGTAACCAGCTCCTGGGCCTGGTCAGGTCGCAGCTGATCTTAGGTGTCCTGTGGCAGTCGCCTGCCTATAGCCAAGTGATTGATCATCGATTGGAAGTGTGACTGACTGGTGGAGTGAGATGATTTTAAAATCTTTCTGCCATAGGCACAGGCGCGGCCATTCACGGTAGCTTCCCAGAAAGACATCTACTCTCATGACAGACTGAGATGCTTCCTGGTATTTCATGGATGCTAATGTTAGCCTTGCAGATGACATTAGAAAGGTTCTCCTCCAGCTTTAAAGTAACTTTGGGATCGTATACTTTCAAGTCAGATTCTCTGTGGCGTTAATTAGGGCCCCGTAGTGTTTATTTTCATATAAAAACCTTGAAACTTACATCGAGTTAGCCAACCAGTGAAGCGTGTCGCAAAACTACCCATTTTTGCCTTCCTATGTAATTTGTATGATTTTTTATTTGTTAAAATTATGCAGTGTTTGGTAGTTAATTTTCAGATGATCACATCATCAATGAAAAGATCTTGAGAATCAGCTGTGACCTTCTCAATGTACTGCAGCTCACTGGAAGAAAAACAAAACCACTCTTATTTTTAATCAAAAACTTTTTCATATGTATAAGTTTGTTTCCAGTTCTATTCTAACTCTTATAAAACGATGGCATTGGTAAAGTAATAAGATTTTGGAGAATTCCAGGCCAAAGACATTTTAGATGTTTTCTTATTTTTTTATATTGAAAGGATATATTTTTTAAAAAAAAATTAAAATGTCTACCAATATCATATACTTTTAACTTGGGTGTTTTGAAACTGTTCAAAGTTACTATTTTTAACAATTAAAAGTATTTTCTTCAAAGGGACTTGTTGTCTTAATGTTTCAGAATTACTCTAAAAGATTCTAGATTACATCTTTTTGAAAATCAGTATATTAATTTCGAAGTTCTTTTGACAGTTAAAATATATATACAGGAGAATAAACGTGACCTTAGGAGTATGAAGTAGCAAATGGATTACTGATCATAAGACTGATCGTATTTAACCAGGAGGTTATATAATTATAAACAAATACTTATTTATTTTTTGCTTCTCTGATTCTCTGAAAATAGGGATGTTTGACACGTACCTGGTGGAGGTAATTCTATGTGGAAGACGTGGTAGAGGCATCATTGTGAATATACAGAGTATTGGTAGCACATTTCATTTAGTTTTTCTGATTGTGAAATGGTTCTTAAAAGCAGGAGACTTTCATGAACTAGGGAAACAAGATAATGGTTTCCAAATGTTTCATGCATCCTGGCCCATTTTGTCACTTCTCTCATAGGATCTATACAAGGCATATGGCACAAAATGTTGGTTATTCTGATTTGTAGATCTCTTTTTGTTGAATTTGTTATCATTTGGGCTTGGAAATACGCTGTGTGTCATAAGGTGTGGCAGATACACTGGGAGAAGTTTTTGCTTTCATAGGATTCTACTAAGTAAATATTCGACGTAGAGCGTTTTTGTTAAAATAGCTAGCCAAAAAACTTGATTTAAGTCACTAGACTGTAGATGTAAGCCTGTACCCTGCCACTGTTAAATTGAACTTCTAACATGCTTTTCTTACTTTGCATACATTTTCCATTATTTATTTCTTAATTGTCCTAATGCCTAAAGGGAACGTAAAAGACAGCAATGATTGCTTACAAAGGTTTTTTGGAAATTGGTCTGATTTGGATCTACCAATCAGTATGGTTGGTAAATGTATATACTGGAAGCATAGATGGGCCCGTACTACAGAACATATCATAGTTCATTTAGTTTCATAGCATATGTATGAGATCAAAACTAATTTTAAGATCTTAAAAATATCTTTGTGGGTTTGTTATTGTTATATATATTTTTTCACAGTATAGAGGTAAATTTGGGGAAGTTATACAGTATATGTTTTAAGCTATTATTTAATAAAAAAAGCAAGTTTTAATTTTTCTTTATCATAATTAGTATCTTGGAAAGAAATCTACTGAAATATGGTAGACCATACTTTGGGAGAAATTTATAATAGATGTTAAGGTGATATCTGGCACTGAAAAAATATAGGCTGAAATTGTAATTTTAAGAAATGGGCTTTGTGTTCTTAGTATTTCTTTTTAGCACAAATATATGGGGCTGGGGTTATACTTTACTGCCAGAGTAAGAGCTTGGCACTTGCTAGGCACCAGGTTCAATCCCTAGCATGCATGCATGTGCGTGCACACATGTACACACACACACATGCAGGAACCAAAAAGCATGTACACACATCACAATGTTAATACTGAGTATGCAGTTTGGAATGTAAATGTGTACATTGTTCAGCTGTTTCAATTATTATAACCAGAGCAAGTTGTTTTCCTTTCTAGCTCTCAGTTTCCTTAGTTGAGAAAAGTATTATAGTTATTATTCCTTGTTTTTTTAATATGATTTTTAAGACTTTATCAGCAAACCTGTGTATCTTAACAGAGAAGACCTTGACTAGGGACTTAATTGAGCTGCCGTCCTACAAGAACCTTCCTGTCTATGTCATAACTGACTCTTACAAAAGTTACTAGTTCACATTAATACTAAGTTTGAGATTGTTAAGACTGAAGATTGTGTTGTTCAAATCATGAAATATTTCGAGGAATATTTCATTATTCATGTGTATGTGATAGTTCCTATGACTTTGGACAGAATCATCTCATAATTACGTGTAATCTGTCTCTGTGAGACCCTCTCTGTTAACACTGCATGCTAATACATCTAGAGGCTAGTGCATTTTTCTCGACAAAAGCTCTATTCTTTACATACTTTTTTGTCTTTTTGAGGTGCTCAAATCAAGCTCAGGGCCTCATGCAAGTTAGACAACCACTTTCCCAGCAAGCTGAAACTCCAACTTTCTACTCTTTTGTGTTTTTAGGGTGCACCCTGCGAATATTTAATGTGTACCTCTCAGGGGCTGGTTTGTTTTTACAGTGAGGCCTGCGACCCTTTGGCTTAGGAGACAGTTCAGTGCCATAGTCCAGAAGACTGAATAGTGACATATTGCTCACTGAAAGTGGTCTCTTTCAACAAGCGTAGCCAAGAAATAATCTTCTGTGGCTAGAAGAGCTACTCTTCCCCTAGTAACGCACCAGTTTCAAATAGGGAGTCACTGGATGAGATGTCTGTAATCATGCACCGTCCAAATGGCACATTTTTAAATTTTCCCGGAGATCTAGATAATACATGAAATTGTGAAGTGCTGCTGAACAGGACAGGAAGGCACTCAGGCTGCATATAGCAGGTGGCCCTTGGGTGGCAGTTGGCAGTACTGATTGTAGGGGTGGGGGAGCCTACATGCCGAGCATGAGGACGGCATGATGTGACCACAGGTCCATGGCATGTGGGGCTCCAGTGCCCTGAAGGGACCTGCGAAAAGGGCAGAAGGGACCCGAAGCAGCAAAGAAAGGGGCAAGCCTGCGCCTGCGGGTGGGTTGAGTGACTGGCGCCCCGGGTTCCTGCTGCGGTGGGGGTAGCCGGCACTCACGTCTCCTCTCCCACCAGGAAGCTCGGTCTAGGTGTCCTTGGGTGCTGCTCCCCATTCTGCTGTTTCAGGGATTGGTCTTTTCTCAACTGCAAAGATTTTTCTGGGACAGAGTGCAGTGAATTTCTCTCTCTACTGCATTTTCTCAGATGCAAAGCAAAGAAATGACCCCATTCACCCTTGCAACTTGAATCAATTAAAGTAGGGATTTTTAAACTGTCAGGACTCAAACTGGATTCCAGAAGGGTTGAATTCAGTGGAATTTGATATCTGTTTAGGAAACATTTTTATTCCCCTTTGTTTTTATTTGTAGTCACTTATCTTCCTTCTTTATGTTTTTATTTTGGTGCTGGGGATGGAACCTGGGGTCCAGCATGTACCCATTCCACCACAGAGTCACATCCTCAGTCCCCACTTTTTTGGAGAATGGGAACCAGGGCCTTGTTCATGCTAGCCAAGCACTCACCATTGAGCTACATATTAAGAAAATAAATTCACTGCTAGGTTTAACTACTTCCCTTTGGAAAAAAAAAAAAAGGAAGAAAGAAAGAAACACATTTAACTTGTGGACTCATCTAGAATTTTATTATGGGCATAGGATGTATTGAAACAGATTTTCTGACCTCTGGAAATGGTTCAGGTTAGCGTAAACCTCAGTGAGAAAGCTTTGCAGTTTGCTACAGATAAGGAAAAGGGAGATAGGCAGAGGTAAGAAACAGGGAAATACCCTGAGTGGGAGGGAGACAGATGCTCAACCCCCACAGCCAGCAGGATGTGTGCGCAGTTCCTGGTTTCAAAGAATTTCCCTGCTCCTGGGTGCGCGGTCGGATTCGCGTTCCAGGGCCACTTCAGGTTCTAAGGTGTGCGGCACCTAGGCTTGCGGGCAGGATCTGCGGTTATTTCTGGAGAGGATCCGGTGGAGGGAGTCTGTCTTTCTCTTTCTTCATGTATGCTTGAGCAGTGGTTTTCCTTACGGTGAGGGGTGAGGGCAGCGGGAAGCCAAACTGTCAAGCCGTCTGTGTGTGGTAGGAAAGTTCTGGGGAAGAC